TCCTTGAAATAAGAGAAGGCAGGAAAGATCCAACTGCCCATATATGTTGGGAGAGAAGCACCTTGTCTTACTGTCAGGAGATTGCAGATGAGGAGAGAGTCAGCAGAATTACATCAGCCACAAAATTCTTTGGATATCTACTTTCCTTAGATAATTTCCGTGTTCTGCATCTTGCTGCCATTCTATGTCTTAAAACGGTCAAGCAGCTTATGCTTTACTTGATACTGAATCAAAATCAAAATTCACTTACCCTCCTTCAAAAGGATTGTCTCCTGGGATGACATGAGTGCTGTCCTTGCCGATCAGGAACTTGATCCGATCGTAGAACGAATGCAAGCTCTGCTGGGAGATGGGGGCTTGTGTCTCCTGGATGATATCCAGGGGGTCCGGGGAACCCAGGCACAGCGCATTGACGTGGCACAGTGGCTGCAAGCAGCAGTCTGGGTCCATGCAATCCACCAGGCCATCTGCAGAAGGGTAAGGAAGATTTTAGGGCAATGGTAACATGGAGTGTTGTAGACTTCAGGGTGCAACAACTCTTTCCAGTGCACACAACAGAGAAATGTGCATTTACGTCTATATAGAGTAAGGCATGTTTCCTTAAAGCCCCAATAAAGAATCTCAAATATGCATTAATATGTAACATTAATATGCATTAATATGTAAAATATGAAAACACACACATACAGATGAGATTAGACCTTAAAAACAGCATCTTTGAGGTTAATTCTGGGATATGCCATTTCACATCTCAGTCACTCATATAACTCCAGAGCCCCAAAAGGTGGGTTTTTTCCTGTAAATATACAAATTACTTTTGTACACTGGTCCTGTTCCCTGTGCAAATCACAGGCACATTGCATCATACCACAGCTATCAGGGTTGCTTTTAGCATGACTAAATAGTGAACAAAGAGATCTATACATGCAACCCACTAAATAGTGAATAAAAAGATCTATACATGCAAGCCACTAAAGATTCTGGCTAGATAGATGAGAAAGTAAGGGAGGTTTTGGTGGGAAGGTTCCATCTGTTTCGGCCTTTGTCACATTTATTCCATGCAGACACTGAGTAACAGATGACCTCAAACTCTCAGGATATAAATCTTGTACTTTCAGCACCACTAAATTAATAATAACAACAATAATAGCAGTGGACACACATGAGAAAAGCTTGCCAAGCGTGCTCTAGTAAAATGAGGGTTTGCATATCTGTCAAGTCATCAGACACACAGACAGTACTCCTTCCCCTCCCACCGCCATAGCAGCATTCCCCAGTTCATTTTGAGATGCCACTGTTCATTGCAAACAGCTTAGTAAAAAGCGGTGACAGGAAAGGAAATACATAAAAAAAGCTCAGAAGAGGTTTGATGAAGCATCACATTTAGAAATAAAAGTTGTTAGCATGTAGTAGAGATGGATCTTTAAATCAGATAAGGGAACTGGATGTTTTTGTTCTGGGGTAATGGGATATGGAGCCCTTCACTTCCAACTCATCAGTTCAAGCAAGACAGTTTGATAGTGAATGAAAATTATTACCATGTGATGGTTGTTCAAAGATCTATGTGAAATGAGTGGTTGGTCTCAGTGTAGTTGCTGGGAGCTCTATACATCAGAGAAACCACCATTACAGCTAGCATCCTACTAACAATTTCAGCATAGAGGCAAGAAATGAATGTGCTTGGACAGCAATGCTGAAAGGTAGGTCTCTCCTGAAGTGGGATGGGATTTGGAGTTGTCAGGATTATTTATTTTTTTATTTTTTATTTTGTTTTCTTATTTTTTATTTCAAAGAAACAATAAATTCAAATAAGACAGTTTGTCATTATTACAGATTGTGAACTTCAGTTTCATCCCAGTTATATCAGTATGAATTAGAAGCCCTTTCACTAATGTTATTGGCATTGCTTTGAACTTACTGTAATACAAATAGGATGAGAATCTGATCTGTTATTATTGCTCTAGTACTTACAATGGCTTACACGTCATGGACTCGGATTCTGTTGAGTTATACCTGTTCCATTCTTGGAAGATTTTAGTGCCATAAAACTTCACTGGCAACATCACTTCATGTGGTTACCCATACCCAGAAAACTGAACAAAAAGCCTGTTCAGCATTCCCAGAGCTTCCAGCCTACACGTGGGTCAAAGTGCAATGAATATCTGCTCCATGTAGACATGCTCACACACACACAATGAGTCATTTTCACAAGTGCTCTGCACCTGCCATTAATGATAATGGGAGCAGTGTTAGACTAGCAAAAGTGCTTTCGAAAATCCCATCCATTATCCTTACCTCTGTTCTGATATCTCTACATCTTTATAACTCCTTGCAAAATTGCCACAAAAATTTTCAGCTTGGGCACAAAACCTACCCATCTGCCTTTTCTCTTGATGACTAGTGATAATGAAAAAGAACTAATTACATTTTATTTGCCCATTAAAAAAAAATGACTTGCTGCAGACGATTAGGCCAGTAGGATTCTGGAAGGTCAAATCTCAGATGGAGTTTGAGAGACCGTTCACAGAATAAAGACCTGCATAGCTGTAGTATGCTTATCCATAGCTACCTACTAGAAAAAAAAAAAAGAAACGAAAAAGAAACAAACCACCCCTGTTACTATATTGACTACAGTTTCAAACAAGATAAAATGTTGTAATTTTCTCCCACACATTAATAATGTTTTCTAAGGCTACGGACACTCTGCTGAGAGGATGGCAAACCAGCTGTACCATACCTCTTCATTACCTTGTCTTTATTCCGGGCACTAGAAATATGTTTTGGGACCTGAAGCTGCAAGACAGCAAGGAAATGTTGTCTTTGTAGGAAACAGTAGATAAATGTTTGAAAAACAGATACACAGGACAATGTTTTGTACAGGTGGGAATCCTGAGGACTTATCTGCAGATAAGCCTTTCAACTAATATGTTTCAGGCTTGTATGGAATAAGTTGAGGGTAATTACACCAGAGAGGTTTGTCACTGACATCTTAAAGTAATTAAGGTCCTTAAGAGCTGAAATGAGGTCTAGCTACTCAACTGCCTGTAAGATCAACAGCAGTTTCAGGGCAGAGCATTTCTTTAGCTTAGAAAATATCAAGGCCATTTTTGTCTGAGCCATGTGGAACAGAAAGAGTTAAGCTACTAACTAGATCATAAATAGTGATGTCTCCATCTGAATACTGTTTTCTTGTGTTTTTTTATTTATTTTATTTTATTATATGGTCCACAAGTGATTCAAGTGGTGCCCTACAGGGAATTGTAAGGAGGTATAATGAAATTGTACACAGCTATGGCTTCTCATGCCCTGAGATCTCTCACTGGATCCATCAGAAGAGTGAGGATAAAGTGAGATTTGCAAGAAGCTGCCTACCCGTAAAGAGCAAGGCGTTCAGGGAGCTGCATGGATTAATAAAAAATAAAATCAGAGCGAAATGAAACTATGCTTTAATGGTCCAAATAGACAAAAATGAATGTGGGAAGCCAGCACCAGCAGCACAGGAAAGTATAACAAGGTATGATCTCACAGAACAGTATGAAGTCATAATACAAAACACCTTTGAAATTTATAAAGCATAAAGGTGAATTTTCCTTAGAACTCACAGCATATTTTTCAGAAAGAGGTAATAGAAGGAAGTGAACATGGGATCAGGGACTTCTGCACCCCAAGTTTTGCAGCAGCAAAGCCACAGAGACCCATGATCCGTGTGAGGACCGCTAACTCCAGTAGCTCCCAGAGCACAGATATGCAGCACAGTAAGTTCTTAGTTACGGACTCTTTTATGCAGCTCTTGGTTTTAAAAAGTAGTAGCTCCCTTATTCTACATATAGCCATAATACGACCATGGCACTTCAGACCAGAGAACAAATGTGTTGCTGAACTATCTCCATGTGAGTTTTAAAGTCCTGCGTAGAGGGATTACAGTAATTCATAGCTTTAAGGTCAAAGAGGCTACTATGATCAGCTTGTCTGACCTCTCATATACACAGGCTGTTCATTTCCCCCCCCCAGAACTGAGTTAAAGCCTGTCTTTTAGAAAGATATCTCATATATCAAAGACAGTTGATTACAGTGAGTCCACCACTTCCTCCACTAAGCTATTCAAATGCTTAATTATGGCTAGGAAACTGCATCTTATTTCAAGGTTGAATTTGTCTAACTCCAGTATCCATCCACTGCAATTTGTTTTGCCTTTGTCTGTAAGGTTACCAGTATTTCCTTCTGCCCTGCATGCTCAGATGTCTTTTCTATGTGCAAGCCCCTCCACTCAGAGCAACAATCCATTCCAAACCTTTCCTCTGAACAGCTCAGGAAGATTAAGCTTCCCATCATAAGATTTATTTCCCAGCTGCTGGATTTGTGTGTGTGTGTGTGTGGCATCCTTTGATCTCTTTCCAGTAATTTCACATCTTTTGTTATGTGTGGGCACCAACACTGGACACAGAACTGTGGCAGCAATATTGGGTACAGAAGAGAGACCACTTCCCAACTTTTGAGTTTTTATACTTCTAAGGTTCACAGTAGCCTTTTAGCAACAGCTTTGCACTGAGAACTCATGTTGAGACAATTATCTCCAGTGACCTCTAAATCCTGTTCTGAGTCACTGCTTTTCAAGAGTCTCCCAACCCGTAAGTAGAACATGCTTTCTTTGTTCCCAGGGGTATTATCTTGCATTTTGCTGCATTAAGACACATTTTGTTTGATTGTGACCTTGTAGTGATGCGAGTCAGATCACTCTGTATCAAAATGATCCGGGTATGCTATTTACCACCATATCAAGCTTTAGGTGACCTGAGGATTTTAGCAGGAGAGATTTAAACTACATTCTAAGACAATGATGAAAATGCTGAACAGGGTTGGATGCAACAACCAGTTCCAAGGGATCCTTTCAGAAACAGCTTCAATCATGGATGCCTTTCAACTAACAAATTAATTTGGAGATCTGTCACTGAGACAGAATTTAAGTCATCTCTTGTGTTTCTTATTGTTTCCACATAATAAGAGTTTTTACATCTCTGAGACGTTTTATGCATCCTGTAGAGACACACGTGTCCTTTTGGCAGTCCTGCCAAAAATAAACCTCTTTTGTCACATCTCCTTTGTATAAAGCCATGAAATAAATACCTTTTGCAATCCCAGAGTTACCACGGGGTGAATCAAATCACTGCCTTTGTGAAAGGAGAGTCATTGGCAAGACATTGCCACATCTGGAAAATAATGTGATCAACGGTTTGCATCTTTCAGTAAGACTGATGTAATCACAGAATAAGTAAGACTGGATAGGACCTCTGGAGGTCATCTTGTGAGCCCTGTCTCATTCTCTTCAGAGAGGGACAGACATGAAGGAGAATGAACTAGGCTCAGCAGAAAACCTTCCTTTTCTGCCATTGAGGATAATGCAGCTCCAATTTATTCAGCTAAGATTATTTTTTAGGGGAACAAGTCCACTTTGACCAGATAAACTGCA